TCCTCTGTTGTGCTCACGACCTTGACTGGAGCCATGTCTGCACAACTGCAAAAGGTTGACTTCGATGTCGTTGTTCTTGACGAGGCTGCTCAGGCCCTTGAGACGGCTTGCTGGATCGCCATTTTAAAGGTAATACTAGTCTTTCATTCTTGTTTTGGGATAGAACGAGTGTGTTTTTACGTACTTGTGCAGGGACGAAGATGTCTTCTCGCTGGCGACCATCTCCAGCTCGCTCCAACAGTACTGAGTAAAGAAGCCGAGAAGCAAGGCTTTGGAACAACATTATTTGAACGCCTGGCAGGACTGTATGCCAGTCAAGCCATGACAATGCTCACAGTGCAGTACCGTATGCACGAGCACATTATGGATTGGTCTTCCCACGAGCTCTATGGCGGCAAGGTCGGTACGGATTGGACTTTTTTGAAACTGACAACGAGACATGCTTTTTACCAGATTCAAGCACACGAGCTTGTGGCAAGCCGCAAATTATTCGAACTAGATGGCGTCAAGAAAACTCCTGCAACTGAGCACACGCTCGTCCTCATCGACATCTGTGGCTGCGACATGGAAGAGTCAAAGGACGAGACTGAGAGCTCTTTCAACGAAGGCGAAGCCCGCATTGCTATTACTCACGCCCAAAAACTCGTGGAAAGTGGAGTTAAGGCTATTGACATCGGAATAGTCACACCGTATGCGGCCCAGGTATCTATATATTGTTTCAGGGTTTGTGTTGTCTCTAAGTTTCACGCAATGCAGGTGAATGTTCTGAGGCGCATGAGAAATGAGGAACAGCGTTTACTGGAAGTGGAAATCAGCACTATTGACGGTTTTCAAGGCCGGGAGAAGGAAGCAATGATAATTTCCATGGTTCGCTCCAACGATAAAAAGGAGGTATGGTTTTCTTGTTGAGGTAGCAGTGAGACTAAAAGCTTATGCTTTAGGTTGGGTTCTTGAGTGACAAGCGGAGGATGAACGTTGCAGTTACGAGAGCAAAAAGGCAATGCTGTGTCATATGTGATTCGGACACTGTGGGAAAAGATCCATTTCTCAAGCGGCTTTTGGATTATTTTGAGAAGCATGGAGAATATTGTTATGGTCTTTATTATCAATGACTTAATTGCGGTTTCTCTGCTAACGTTTGAGACACATTGCCACGATCAATCTCATTGTTTCACTTGCGCTTACAGATCTATTTCAAGCTCTTGATCCTTGACCAGACGTGTTCTCTACCTTTCTTTTATCTATGATATTTGGATTAAAAGCTTTGGTTGTGAAACATCTTTCCATTCTATTACCACCTGCTTTCTAGTGCACCAGTAGTTCCACATCATATGCTCCAACGAGTGAGCATTCGTGCAGCCTTCTCCCCTCTATCACAAACCCGCTGCTGCAATCCTCTAATCGGGAGCCTCTGACAAAGTACCATCTCTACTGCAGAAGTGCTCTTCGGACTGGACGTCAACGATAAGCTCCCGACCTGGAACCGGCATACCAGGTGCCAGATTTTATACCAGGGTCTCAACAAGGAGAGTCATGGGTGATGCAGCACACTTTGGACAAGCATGTTGCTGTCCCGCTGGGAAAGTCCCACCGGTGAGCAAATTGAGCAACAGAAAGATTACATTGACAAGACAAACAGTTCTTGGCCAGTGTTGTGCAGCTGATGTCCAAGTAGATGGAACCGACTCACTCGATACAGCCATGCAGTTCTCAAACAAGCTGAAAAATTAGCTGCTGATGGATCTGGAAGAGGAATTCAAAGGAGGGGCACGATAATTCGTGGCTATATGTTTCTTACTTAAAGATCCTTATCGACCAGTATTTTGATTCCTCAGAGGAGTTTGCTTCCCTGGGAGAGCTGCAGAAGCACACATGCTATTTTCTTGTAAACCATAATGAGGATAGAAAAACTACGTAGATATCAAACTTGAACACCAATTTTAAGGTTTAATTCTTGCTGAAACTCTAGTCCCTAATAGTAAGTTTTCTCTGAAGCATGATTAAGAAATGATAAAAAAAAGTACTTGAAATCACTCTAAAACTACTTTATTGATAATCACTTCAGATTTTTTGTATCCCGTTATCATTATTTTACAATAATTTAAACATCAGTTTGTATTGGTGATAAGTAAAAATAATAACATTAAACTTTGATTATAAATTGAATTAGTGAAAATTTAAAAGTAGAAAATCATGACTATTGGATTGAGGAAACTATAGCTATATTATTTACACCTCTCCTACTACAAGTTTTCTAAAGAATAAAAAGTACTTAGAGGTTTTTGGTGTAGTATTGGATATACCTAAAATATTCTTAGATATTCTGGTATATTTTACTATTTAACAAATTAGCCTTTAATTTATAAACCTTTTCAAGTTAGTAAATACCCTTTACCTTTACCCTTTGAGCAAACACCTCCATACATATTCTAGCAGTGAATCAAAATTTGAAGTTAGAATAAAAGGATTATATATTATAGTAAAAATAAGTAAATTATTTTTACTTACTTACTTAAAAAAGTTAATATGTAATTTAATATTTTCTTATGGAGTTTTTTGCTTCATGTAGAGCCAAAAATGTCAAAACAAATGAAGTTGGATATATTGTGGCTAACACTTTATCAAAGTTTTTCAAGACTTATGCATATATTTGCCCCAACCATTTTTTACGCTTTTCGATTGGTACAATGTTAGGAAATATCACTTCTTCCACTTATAATTGCATGTGCTTCAGTTCTATATCATAAAATTTTTAATCAATTAGAAAAAGGTGTGCACTGTTGTTCATGGGTGTTTTCCTCTATACTTGAATTTGTATAAATCATCTCTTTAGTTATTTTCTTTAATTATTTACAGATATAAAAAGTATAAATATGATGCTATATACTAATATTATCATAATGAGATTTGATTTTAAATTCAAACCATTTCCTATTTTCTCTCTATATAAACTATGTTTATTTAGTATGGCTTAACTTGAAAATATCATAATTTATATTATAATACTAATAATACTAATTTTCTTACCATTCAATATAAAAAATAAATCTAAAGTCTATTGTGATTTAGAAGAGTTTATTTTTCCTATTTCTTTCATGTAATATTTC